CTCAGGGGCAAGAATGCTGACGCACTCCCCACTGCTGCCTGGCCTCCCCTGCTGAGGGCATCTCCTAGTGGTCCCATTGCCTGCGATAGTCCTGGGCGGTGCTGCTGGTGTGCACTTGACGGTTGGCATGTGCTTTCTTTCTGACCGGGTCACAACCGTCTTAAGTCAGCAAAGCTTTCTGCTGCTTTTTTTGCCAAAGACACCTCTGAGTCCACTCTAGTCTTTCTCTTAAGGGCCTGTAGAAGCTAGAGGCAACCCACTGCCCTGCTTCCTCCCATGGTGGTCATTCATAGAGCTCCTTTTCACTCCCAAAAGAATTCTTGCTATGCAAGATAAATTACCCCTGACTAGAGCAGTCATCACGCGGATGTTCCTAACCAAACTCCTGAGGTCCCCTTCCCTCATTCCCAAACCTGCATATTCCCTTGTGGTCACTGTCTTGGACGATGGCTTTCCATCACCAGCTGCCTGAGTGAAGAGGCTCTTTTCTGACCTTCAACTCCACGTCTAAACGCCAAGTTGCCAAATCCTGCTTCTTCAGCTTCTAAAATGTCTCTCAAGTGTATCCTTTCCCTCTCCATTCCACTCCTTTTACCATCTAGATTGGGGCTCTCACAAAATCAGAGTCCTACCAGCGCCGGGCAGATGAGTGACTGAAGGGGAACTGTTAGAAACACACAGCCCTCCCTCTTGGTCCAATCCTTTGTTTCTAAACTTTTGATAGAGATTTGGGTTCAGCAAACACTTCGTTTTCCTCTTGATTCTCCAAAAGTTTAAAAAAAAACAAAAGGCAAGAAAGCAGTGATAAATGACGCTGACACTCCACCTTAGCCCCATGGTGAACCTGCCCCCGCAGGTGCTTGTTGCCCCGCAGGAGTGCGGGCCCGCAGTCCCCAGGTCTTCTGATTTTTCAAAAGAAGTTGGAAATCAGGATGATTTTGGTGTGAAATCTCCCAATTCGTAAGTGACAGGTTGAAAAATACTGTGCAGGTCAAAGAAAACATCTGCAGCCACTTCGGGCCCACCGCCATCCTTGGCTTTCAGCTTCTGGCTTCGACCCTGACCACCTGTAGTCTAGACCGATAGCAGTCTTGGTCATCCTGCCCCCTCTTATCCAGCCTCCACACTGTCTTGGCCTTTCCTTTCCACATTACAGATCTGATTATGTGAGCGCTGATCCTCCTCATTCCAACCCAGCCTCTCTTTGCAGCTGTGTCTCTTACCACCCTGCACACACCCTGGCTGTGCTGTCGCCACACACAGCTACTTGCTGTCCCCTGAGCAGTCCTAATATTTTCTTTCCATTCATAGGATTTTTTAAGAACAATCACAGATTTACAGAAAAACTGAGCAGGTAGTACAGAGAGTTCCCATATATTCCTTTCCTCCCCAGTTTTCTCCTGTTATTAATATCTTGCATTAGAGTGGTATGCTTGTTACAATTAATGAACCAGTATTGACACATCATTATTAACTAAACTCCATAGTTTACATTAAGGTTTATTCTTTTTGTTGGCAATACTGTTGCCATTTTTAACATTTAACATTTTTTTATAATTCAGTTTCTTCTCTGCTTGCATGGTCTTCCCCAGATTCTGACCAGATTTGTTTAAGGGTTAAATAGGAATATTACTTTTTTCTGCAAAGCCTTCCTGAATGTTTATTTTTGGAATGGGGGCTAAAGGGTGGGGGCAGACAGAAAAAGGAAGAGAACTAACATTTTTATCAGGTGCCTAATGGGTGCCAAGTACTATATAGTCCTTTAAATCTCTCTACAGTCCTATAAGCCAGAGACTGTTATATACCGTTTACCGTGAGGAAGCAGAGGTTAAATAAGTTGCCCCACGCCTCATAGCTAGTAACTGGGTTTACACCCATACGCACCTGGCTCCCAAGCGTGCACCTCTCCCACAGGGCTGCATCCCCTCCACTGACCTGGCCTCTCCCTGCTGCAGGGAGGAGTGCGGTGCTGTTCAGCTGTGTCCCCACTCCTTACCTGGGGTTGCGGGAGCTCCCCAAACCCAAGGGCATGTGTCCTACAGGCAGAGTCAGTATAGGAAGAGGCACCACACAGCAAAATCAATTCAGCAAATGTTCGTTGCATTCCGGCTGTGTGCTGGGCTTGGTCAAGGGTGAGGTCAAGCATAAGAGGACAGGGATGGCAATGCCGCCACGCAGGTTCTAAATCAAGACCAGGCAGGGGCAGGGAAGCTGTGGATTTTCCGCTTATCCGTGACTAGAGTGTAAGCTGCGGGGAGCAGGCGCTCCTGTGTTCTGTGCCACGGCTCCTAGGACAGCGCCTGGTAGTAATTGTTGTTTAGTAAGTATTTGTGGACTGAATATTTGAATCCTATTGCAAATCTGGGAGACCTAAAGTAACACTTCACTTCTCGGAGCTCTCCCATGCATTCTGTTGGTCATGCAGCTTCGGTTTCTGTTTGGTTCAGTGCAGTCCTGTATTACAGGCTGTTTGCAAATTATCCCAGGCCTGGCCTAGACCACACTCCTAGCCCAGAGGTTCTCCTGGACCAGAACTTTCTCGGAGAAGGGGGAAAGGAGGAGGAACTGCCTTGTCCCCCGCCGTCTTTTCCAAGCTGATGGACAAATGACCCTTCCTGGAAGCTGGCTGCCTGGTGCTCCTGGACCTGACCTTGGATCGTAGTTCCAGAGGCCTGGCCCCACCCCTGGACTTCACACCAAAGGATGGCCTCATTTTTCTTGGACAAATTAAAACAGACCCTCTAAATGTCGTGGGAAGGTAGCCGTGTATTCAAATATAGTCATTAATTTTCTCAAAAAAGAACTGATCTCAAACACACTCACTTGTTTCAGACATGGGCTTACAAAACTTTTCTCTCCTCCCCCCCACCCCCGTCTTTTCCCCTTCCTCCCCTTCCCTGCCCGGTTTTCCCTTGCCTTCTGTGACCCTGTCTTTCACGTCTCTCTCTCTCTGTCTCTCCTCCATGTTTCTTTCCACCATGGTTCTCATAAGTGTACCTCCCTCTGCAGTTGTCCCATGTAAATAGATCGCTCTCTGTTCCTGGTGAATAACCAGGATCACAATTGTTGTCTGGGTTGTGCCCAAGGTGACAGAATTGATGGACCTGGAGGTTGATTTTCATAAACCAGAGCTACCAAGCGTTTCAAAAACAGCCTTGTTTTTGCCAAGTAAGGTGAGCAAATATAGGACTAAGTTTAAACATCCATCAGGACTTATTTTTGAGGTGATTGCTTCTAAATGAGAGGCATTTGAAAATCTCACAGCTTTCTTTACAAGTAAATTCCACGCTCATGTATTTTGCTGGTGTCTGCTGATTAATTACCATCCTGTGACACCATGAAAAGCCCTGGTGGTTGGTTTTTTGCAGCTGTGGAGAGAAGTAAAGCAATGCCCAGTGACTTTGACAACTCTTTCAGGGTATCGGGGATTCAAGCAGAGGGAGGTGTGTTTTTTCACTCTGGCAGTCACCACATAAGAACAGAAGCCCCAGCCAGACCCATTTCTCCAGACTTCACGACCTGTGGTGTGGGTCCCTGCAGGGGTGTGGTGAAGTAGTGATACTTGATCTGTTGCCTCTGAAATAACAGATCCATTATTAGAGAAAGCATTTTCAGTCTCCACATCGGGACTTGCGTGCAGTCTCCTATACAATTACGTCTGTTTAGACCCCTCCCAAAATTAAATAAATAATAATAATAACAGTTACATATAATAATCACAATTTTTTTTTTAATTCTCTAAACAGAGGTGCTCCGGATGTATTTGTTGTTGGTAACTGCAGATGTCTGACCCAGGAAAACTGCTAGCTCATTCCCGTTCAGGCTCTGATGATTCTGGGTCTCTTTTATCTTGGCCTCCTGCTTTTTGTCCTTATTCGCTTCCCTATTTAACTCTCACTTAGGCTCCTCATCGGCAGGAGAGGAAGAGAGGAAAAAGTTGAATCTTGTCGCTTTGAAAGAGTCACCTGTAGCTCTGGCGAAGGATACAGTAGGGGAGGGAACCAAACATTATTAAAATGGACTTTCCAAGTTCTCGGTGTGTTTATGCGTACCAGCTTTGCTCCGCCCACCGTCTCCGCCTGATTGAGATGAGACTGCAGGAGCTCTCTGCCATGCCTCTTTGTACTCCTTGGCACCGGCTAAGGTCAGAGGATCTCATCTGTGCCTTAGTCCTCTCTCTCCGCTGCAGGTTTATACTCCTCACAGAGTGTTGTTGGTGTCATCACGGAGTGTGAATCCACGACATGCTCACATGAGCCGCACACACGCGCACGCACACACACACACACACAGGCACGCGCGTGTGTCTGCTGGATCTGTGGCCTTCATTCTAAATAGAGGCAACTAGAGGATTTGTCTTTCTCTGCTCAATTCTCATACATAATGTCATGTCAGCATTAGAATAGTTTGTATCCATTTGGCTGCTTCCGCACGTCTCAGTGGGGAACTGCGAAAAAAATTGAGATCGTTTACAAATATCACTGTCCCGTGTTTGCAAAGGCAGGCATCTTCGTGGCCTGCTGCTTTGGCCAAGACGGTTCTGACAAATCCAACACACAAACCAATTTGGACTCTGAGACAGCTGATTTTTCCTCTGCAGTAAGACTTTGACTTGAAAACGTACATTTTTTTTTCATGTGAGACTGCTCACCTAGAGCAAGATGTTTGCCTTTCTTTGCTAAAATCATTTTCTTGGCTGTTGTAACGAATAAGCTCTTGTATCAAATGAGTGTTCAGTCACTGAGTAGTCAGTCACTCTTGTTTGGAATTGCGCAGGGGACCCAGAGTAGAGGTAGGGATCAAGGGCACAGGTTTCTTGTCCCTTGCTGCGTCCTCCCAAAACCAGCTTGCTTCCTGCGTGGAGACCAGAGCCACATTCTACAGGTGTCTGTTTTCTTTGAGGGGAATATTTTGAGGAAACCTAACAGGGGAGGAACTGAACATTGAGGAAAAATATATTTTCACAGCAGGATATTGCTTTTTTCTCTTTTCTGGTTTAGGTTTTTCATTTGTTACAAGCCTGCACAGACTCCAAATACAGACTGAATGCATACTTTCAGCAGCTGCTGGCTGACGTTGCTGTTTGTACCAGAGCCAAACTCTGGCTGGCCGAGAGGTATGTTAAAACCCCACATGAGCAAAGAGTTATCAGGGGTTAGGAATACATTGGAGAATGGCTGTTTCTAGTTGTGGGAGTTTTAAAAGTCATTGGCATGCGTTTTCTAAACTTATTGGAGTATTTATCTTTTTAGAACTTTGGATTGTGGTAAGAAAGAAAAATATTTTCTTGATAATTTTTCTGAAACTGCTGCATGGCTAGGGGGCATGTAATATGGCTTTTTATCGGTCCACCAGTCAGCTTGTTTTTATTAATACCTGCCATGTGCCCAGCCCTGTGTCAGATGTGGTACAAACTCTTAGGTGCCACACGGCAATTAGAGATTGGGGTAAGACGTGAACAGGCACAGAAAGACTGGTAGGGTGTGAATAAGAAAGAGAGGTGCAAGTTGCTCCCTTTTTAGGTAGGCAGTAGAATAGCTTGAATAATGAAAGCACAGGAGGGTGGATACATTTATTTTTTCGTTCTGGCCATTGTTCACTTATTCTAAAACTTAGGACATTTGCTATGTGAACAATGCTATGGAATAAAAAGAAGCTCTCATTCAGTACACAGGGAGTCCTCTCTGTTGCAATGTGTTCAAAATCCATGTTGCAAGTCTCTGATATTGGTAGGACAGTATTACTGCAAGGGCCCCCCAGTCTGTCCTCTGTAAGTTCCAGCACAAGAGGTCCAGTAGAAGCCCACAGGCTACCACATTCCATGCCAGAGTATCTTGCGTTCGATTAGAAATCAGTGTATGGGTTTCCTAACATAGCAGCCTTTTCGTTTGTCAAAAAAATGTACTTGCGTTCACTTTTGTTGGTTCTCCACCTCACGTAGGAAGGCAGGAAATGGGCAGTACAGGCCTGCAAGTCACTGTAATACAACAAAGTCTTGTTGAACAAAGCTGACCTTTGTGTTAGGAGGTGGAAGGGATTCAAAGGTAGAGATAGAGCTCTGGCTTCAAGGAACTCATATCCAGGAGGTGAGAAAGATGTGTGAAAAGGTAATTTCCACCGCATATGGCAAGGGAAATAACAAATGTGTGTAGTAAGCACAGGAGTAGCCCAGAGGAGGGGCAGGGAAGAGCCATCAAGAGATGAGTGGCATTTCGGGGCACCTGGGTGGCTCAGTCGTTAAGCATCTGCCTTCGGCTCAGGTCATGATCCCAGGGTCCTGGGATCGAGCCCCACATTGAGCTCCCTGCTTGACAGGAAACCTGCTTCTCCCTCTTCCACTCCCACTGCTTGTGTTCCCTCTCTCGCTGTCTGTGTCTCTCTGTCAAATAAATAAATAAAATCTTTAAAAAAGAGAGAGAGAGAGAGAGATAGACAGATGAGTAGCATTTCAGCGAGCAGCCAGGGCAGGGAGAGCATTCTGGGCGCTGGTCATGTCAGTGGCAAGGACATGGCTGTGAAATGGCTTGGCAAGTATGGAGAGCGGTAAAGAAGTTAGCTCTTCTGGAACCTTGTAGAAGGTACATGAGGCTGTGGAAATCCAAGGAGGCTACACAGTGAAAGCTCCTCAAGGAAACCTCTTGGTGAAAGGGAGCCATTGAAGGATTTCTCGGTGTGTGGATGTGTGAGTCTCCATGTCTTGTCTAAGCACCTCTAGCTCTGGGCAGGGATACTGATGGGGAAATTCTCTTATGTCTGAAATGCCAGTAAAGTGATGGTTAACTCTCATTTTTAGACCAGTTTGTGTCTTCTCTCTCTTACGTAGAGAGCAGGAGTTGATTGACCATAAACTGCTTCTCTGAGCCTAGTATCATTTGCCTTCTGTGTGGCTTTTAGATAACTCCCCTAAGCTGCCTTTCTTGGGAGAATAGGGAATTGTGGTCACACGTGTGCTCTCATCTGTTTGTCAGTAGCAGGCCAGGTCTTCCCAGCTGATGTGTCTAGGGATCAGGAAGTCAGGACTCTCCAGGAACCATCCTATTGAAATTTCTGCTTCCAGCCAGGCCCGCCCCAAGACAGAATCCTAAATTTTCTGTTCTGCAAAGTGCTATAAAGGTGTTTCTGCCCTCTTAGCCTGCTGCCCTTTCATGGGTTTCAGAGAAAGTCATCATCTGCCGGCTTCCTGAGCCCACTCCTTCTTGTTGGATGGAAAGGAGGAGATGGTGTCACAGCCAGCCGTCTGAATGGACCTTCATGCTCTGCAGTCAGTGCCTAAAGATGGATGACCAAGTGCCATCAGCCTCTTCTTCAGCTGGAGAGGTCCTCCTGTCCTCTTTTAACTTTCCTTCTGGTCCCTATTGCAACTTTTCAATTAGGCTTTCAGCATCATCACCACCACCCCCACACACACACACACGTTCTCTGATTTTTCTCCGTGATTTTTCAGCCCTAGAAAACAAAAGCATGAATCACTGCAATTCACTGTGTTTCCACCTTCCTTGCCGAGAGTCCAGGAAAGCCATTTTTATGTTTCCAGTACAGTCGACTCTTTATGATCCAATTGTGAACTTTATACTTTGTGGGTGGTCTATAGGTGGTTCCTAACACCAGGCTTCCTCTTGCTCCCAAGGCACTTTTACTATATTAATCAGGATGTGTTCAGAGCCTGAAATAAAGTTTGGGAGGAAAACACACTGCTGGAGGGCCATCCATTCCAAAGCCACATATTAGTTTTTCTCTATTATCCACATCATTGACATGATAACCTTGAGGTTCCTGAATAGGAAAGGAAAGCACTGAATATAAATGATGAAGCTTCAACCTGTCCTGTGAGACACACCTGCCTGGTCCCTGAGGTCCTTTGAGGTTGTTGCCCTGGGAGGTGAGTGTCTCCACTAATACCTCCATGCTCACATGAGCCCATTCTGGGTCCTAATGGGCCCTTCTCGAAGCCGACCGCTGTGTTCACATTATCACCTGCCTTTCCCATGAAAGACATTGCAATGTGGAGTACTCCCAGTTCCACTGCTCAAGAGGCTCTTTTATGTCCCTAGCAATTTACATATGAAAGACAAATAAATGTTCCTCTGTGCCTACTAAGGATTTTCTGTATCTTTTGAGTATAAGCTATGAAACATTAATGTTACTGCCAAAAAAAAAAGGTAGTTTAAATTTTAGCACCGACACCTTTTTTCTTCTACAGTTTATTTGATCATTAGCCTGAGTTCATTCAGTCCAATAAGTACATACACATTAGTGAAGTGTGTCACTTATTTGTCTTTTTATTCGCAAAGAAGGTTTAAAAAAAAAATGTTCATTGGAGCCACTGGATAACCAATTTGGTTTTGTAAATTTTGACCCTGAAGTTGAGGGCACATAAAATAAAGACTTTTGTCATATATTTATGTTTTGACTTTGCAAGATTAATTGGGATTTATATGAGGTGGTTAAGCAATAGCCATGGAACTGTTGGGGAATTTTTGGTAATGAACAGCCAGCTGGCAACATGGCCTGAGTAGAGGCCTGGGCTTCTGCTCTATACAGGCCGCTTTTCATTCCAAGATGTCAAAGCCTTTATGGAAATCAGCTCGTTAATCCTTCACGTTCCTTCCTTCCCCTTTTGCCTCCATCCCTCCCTCCTCGGTCCAGGTCAGTGTCTTCTCTCACGGTGTGAGGACAGTTCAGCAGCTACTGAAGGAAAACGAAGCCGACTCAGGCCACAAGCGGAGCACACATGAGGCAGGTGGTGGGTGTGGAGAGGTTGGCCTCAGGCACCCCACGAGGGCACTCAGCAGCTCCCCGGCTCCCCGGCTGACGGCCGGTTCCAGCTCTGCTGCCCCAACTGGACCACAGGCCCTGCCTAAATGGGAAGGACTTTTTGAAAGCCCTGTCAAGGAGCCCTCAGGGGAGAAAAGACTTATTATTTTGATCGAGAGTTGGAATTATTATTATATTGGGCTTAAAATTTTTCAGAAATCAATTTGGTTATATAAGGAAGAAGTGCGTGTGTGTGTTTTCCTTCAGATAAAGGCGGTGAGCGCAGTGAACCATCAGGCCAAGTGCAATGGATGATGTGATGACCAGGAAGAAAAATGTGCCCTACTAAATTTTTTTTCACTTTTTTTTTCCTCAGTCATCAGCGTAGCGTATGCCTATCATAGAAAGTTAGGCAAGTATGAAATTTGGAAAAGAAGAGAATGTCAGTCTCATCCAGTCTCATCCACATCCAGTGGAAGCCACTTGTTAGTTCACAGTGTTCTGTATATACTCACTTCATCTTTTCTCCTGTGCCTTTTTTTTTTTAACATTGTTGCAGCTTTACCATATATATGTTAGAGCTTACTCTTTTCACTTAACAGTATCATGAAAGTATTGGCTATTATTGTTAAAAACTCTTTATGTTATAGCCACTATAGAAAATAGTATGGCGTTTCCTCAAAAAATTAAAAATAGCAATACCTTATGACCTAGCAATTCTACTTCTGGGTTTAGACCCAAATGAATTGAAAGCAGAGTTTTGAAGAGATATCTCTACACCCCTGTTCATAGCTGCATTTATTCACAACAGCCAAAAGGTAGAAGTAACCTAAGTGTCCGTTGATGGATGAAGGGATCAACAGTGTGGTATATATGGACAACATATGATTCATCCTTAAAAAGGAAGGAAACCCTGATACAGGCTACAACATGGATGGACCTTGAGGACATCATGCTAAGTGAAATAAGTCAGTCACAAAAAGACAATTACTGTGTGATTCCACTTCTGTAAGGTACTGAGAGTGGTCCCATTCATAGAGACAGAAAATAGAATGGTGGTTGCTGGGGGCTGGGGGAAAGGGAACGAGGAGATAGTGTTTAATGGGCATAGAGTTGTACTTTTATAAGCTGGAAAGGGTTCTGGAGTTTATGACTCCGTGTATTGGCATTTATTAAGTGCCCAGATTGGCTGATGGTGAGTTTTTACTCCAGGCAGCAGTTCTTAATGCTGATGGCTGCATATTAGAATCATCTGGAGAGGTCTTCAAACCTGATGCCAGGTCCCACCTCCAGAATGTCTGATTTTTTTTTGGTTGAGGGTGTGACCCAAGAACTGGTAGTTTCAAAACTCTCCAGGAGATT